GCTTCTGACAGGACTTCAGTTCTTTCTGGGATATTTATGCAAATTGTCTAAGTGGGAGATTGCCTAGCCAAGTCCATTATTTTGGGACCAGGGATGCAACAGTGTCATCCTCTGGGTCATGTACAAAACACAGGCATATTTTAATGGAAACTACTTCTTTTTTCTGAAATATTAAATTTGAAGTTTTTTCCAGGGAGATCTAAGTTATATAAAATTATCTATCACTTCATAAAGATTGACCATAGAAATATTAAGCAGATTCAGAGCTTTAGAAATTGGATAGATGACACTAGACACCCCAGGGCTGTAGACAACAGAGTTAAAATCTATATCTATCTATCTATCTATCTATCTATCTATCTATCTATCTATCTATCTATCTATCATCTATCACGTCTATCGTCTATCGTCTATCGTCTACCATTGTTCTGCCCCAGCTACAGACCCAAAGAACGCAGCACACACGAAGTCCGTACAAACCTTAGTTTACTAATTAAAGACTACTAATGCTTTCTTAGTAGCTGTTCGAACACAAGTACAGTTTAAATCAGTCTTTTCTGAACAAGGGCTGTTAATTTAACTTCATTAACAGCCAACAAGAATCCAAAGAATAATAACTCAATTCTGAGGTACAGTATTTCAGATAACTGTAATCTGACTGTGGTTGGCAGAATGCCCAGAAGCAATTTGCAGGAAAACTGACAAGAGAAAAACAAGAGCTGAATCAAATGTTTCTGGAATCAAGACGCGAAGGAATATGAATGAAGTTGTTTCCTGCAAATTGCATCAGTCGTCGTCCTTCCTTAAATAGGCTAGGGGAGTGGCCAATTAGCCCCAAGCCTTAGTCTCGAGGAGACCTCCTCCTGAGGAGCCACTCCTGCCTTTTAATAGCTCTGCACACTCATGCATCGAGAAGAGGCTCCTTCTCTTCTTCCTCTTCACTTATGGGAGCTTCTGGAGGTTCTGAAGGCCCTGGCTGAATCTCCGCCTCTGGCATCACACCTGGCTGAATCTCTGCCTCTGGCACCACATCTTCTCCAGCCTCCTTATTGTCTGACTCAAGCGCCAGCTGCACAGGCTGCTGGCGCAGCACCACACCAGCCTCCTCACTGTCGGAATCAGCTACTAACTGCACAGGCCGCTGACGGGCCACAACAATCGTCTATTGTCTATCATCTATCATCTATCATCTCCTGGAAAAATAATGTCAAACCAGTTCATCATTTTGCCAAAAAACCCTACAGGAATATATTCATGTAGTTAGCAAGAGTTGAATCTGATGTGAGGAAGTCTATTTTTCTTCCTTTGAGAAACAGAAGCACAATAAATGTTATTAGTGTACATTGAGGATTAAATATATGATTTATTTTAGTATCTATTTAAAATGCAAAATGTGTCAAGATTTTGAATAATCCAGTGATTATTTAAGGTTTCTTCTATTGAGAAGAAATTGGATATAATGAGAAAGACACATGGAAACTCCTTCAAAAAGTGATGCAGATGTGAGCTCTGGGAAGTTGCAAAAACCAGTACAAAATAATACCCATTTAAGGATTTCCAGAAACAGCCCAAAGGCATAACAATATTTGTTTTAATGTGCTGCCCTTTGCTCTTAGAAGATAGCACACCAGCAATTTTCTACTTTGGATGAATTAACTACATACATATGTGGAATTGTCTTGAGTTAAATGGAATGGAAATCAAAGGCATCTATGCTAACATCTGGATTCTAAAGTGAATTGTCCAACTCTGGATCTTTTTGCTTTGTGCTTGGACAATACAATCAGCATGACAGGAAGTGGGATTTGAAGTACAGCTGGTAATAGGGATTGCTCTGGTAGTCAGATCAAAGGAGACCAGACTACTGTCATGGCCCATTTGGAAACTTCATGATATCTCTGACTGCAAAGACCAACTTTATAAAGTCTTGCAGCAAAACCGAGACCTGGGACATGAGAAGAAACAGATTTCTCAAGCTTCTAATGAAATTCTCTAGCTACTGACCAGTTCAACAGTGACCTTGATAGTGTGGCTACATAGCCAAACCTGTGCCACAATAGAAAGGCGAAATGGTTGGGTGCATTCCAGCCAAGGCTGAGAGGGGCTGCACTTCCAAAGCAAGAGCTATGATCATACTAAATGCCGACCACCTCTGTCTGTAATTAACTGCTGTGTAAGCCTGAGGGAATTAGCACAGCACTGTAGATTCAGCTTTGAATCAAGAGTTTAATCATACAGCCTGAAAACAGCAAGATACACAGTTATTAATCTTTGCACTGTGTTGTAACCTCAAGTATAACTCCCAATTAATCAGCAGGAGGCAGACATGGCTCAATATTTACAACATGTCTAATTGATAGAGTTAAAGTGATTATAGAGAGCTATTGCTTATGCATTGATGGGATTCAGCTGAACTTAAGCCTGTGTTGTGCTCTTCCAATCTCCAGACACCTTTTGTGATTGCCTGAGAGAGTGCCTGGCAGAAAGTATTACTGAAGTACTACCAACACATTCATTTTTTCCGGTCTATGCTTTTTCTCAGAATGCCCATGCAGAGAGATCGAGGAGAACTCAACGTGGCCAATTTGCCACTGCCAACTTGCTGCAGCCAACTCGCCATGGCCTACTCACCACGGGACAACTTGCCATGACCAAATTTCCACAGAACAACTCTCCACAGGACAATTCAAGACGGGATTAGTTCCTTTTATTATTCATCAAACCATTACAAAAGTTGGCAGCCATAGGAATGATTTTTTTAAAAAATAGAATAGAATTCTTTATTGGTCAAGTGTGATTGGACACACAAGGAATTTGTCTTTGGTGCATGTGCTCTCAGTGTACATAAAAAAAAATAAAATATACTCATCAAGAATCATAAGATACAATATTTAATGATAGTCATAGGATACTAATAAGTAATCAAATCATACTAGGAAACAATAAAAATAATATAAGTTGTAAAGATACAAGCAACATGGATATAGCCATAAGTGGGAAGAGATAGGTACTAGTAAGGAGGAGAAGAAGAATAGTAATACAGTCTTAGTAATTGATTTGACAGTGTTGTGGGAATTAGTTGTTTAGCAGACTGATGGCATTCAGGAAAAAACTGTCCTTGTGTCTTGTTGTTCTGGTGCGCAGAACCCTATCACGTAGTTTTGAGGGTAGAAGTTGAAACAATTTATGTCCAGGATGTGAGGGGTCTGTAGATATTTTCACAGCCTTCTTTCTGACTCATGCAGCATACAGGTCCTCAATGAAAGGTAGCTTGGTACCAATTGTTTTTTCTGCAGTTCTAATTATCCATTGAAGTCTGTTTCATAAATTGTTTCCTTTGATACAAGAAATAAGATGATGAAAACGTGGTCAACAAAATAAAGTATCGGTAAGTGAATCCTGCGGCACTTTGTCCCGTAGAGAGTTGTTCCTCAGTAAATTGGCCCTGGCAAGTTGGCCACAGCAAATTGGCCACAACAGGTTAGCTGTGGTGAGTTGTCCCATTCTGCATCCAGAGTTTGCCCAAATAGTTGATCCGTTTGCTTTACATATTACTCTTATTACCTAGAACACAGCCTTAACATCTCACATTCAATGCTAAGAAAACTATGGCTATTTTTCTTTGCTTATTTCATGGGGCATAGAACTTTTCTTAGGTTATATAGAAGTGGCCCATATCAGGTATACCTGTATTATGCAGGCAACAGGACAATAAGTAGATAAATAAGTGTATATTTGTTCCATATATGTTGGTATGTGTGCATATATTAAATGGATTATTGCAGAATTTTTAAAAGCTTCCTAAAAGGAATTGGGTTTTGTTTGAGAATCCTAAACTATTTCCAAAAAGGGAGGGGGGAATGATGTATGGAACAGCTTTAGCTCTTGAATATTTTTTTCTTCCCACCATGACATCATTCCTGCTGTCTTTCTTCCCTGTGTATTGGAGGCCTGCAGTGATCTAGTCAGGTTTAAACAGCTGCTTTTTTCTGATGCTCATTCATAGAGCCATAAGTCAAAAAGAGACTACCCACCTTTAGGTCAAAACTGCTCAGATTACAAAGAACGAGTCCACAGGTTGTTTTAAACTGCCAGCAATGTTAGGAATGTTTATGTTGGGAATAATAGGGAGAAGACAATTTATTCACTGATAGATGGTCTCATTTAAGGTTCAAGATCCTAAGATGTCTTAAGACCCTTAATGTTCCTTCAGTAGAGCAATCCTTCCTGATCAGCCCCAGCTGTTTGGTTCCTTTCTTGTGGAGCTAAACAAGCAACATTATGCTCAGACCCAGCTGGGTGACTAGCAGCTTAGCCAATGACTCAGAGTGTAACACACAAAGATCAGTATGCATTTAAATTTGCCATGGCAACAAATAGTCCGCCAGTGGTAATTACATAGATTGTCATGGAGACAGGGCAAAAGATGCAGAATGAATCCACAGGTCTTTGGGGAGTAAGACCATCTCTAAAGTTCCTGGCACATTGGCTCCGGAGACATGAGAGAAGAGACTACATCATCAATCTCTGCTCCCCACTCTAAAAACATGCTTCTGGGCAGAGAGCTAGACTGAGGCTCCTACACTCTGTAGCTGTGAGATAATTATAAATATATCTCAGCTGTAGTGTTGCTTAAGGGGAGAAGACAAAGGAGATATCTATGTTCATACATGAGCTATGTAAGAAAAAGACTTTGGACAAGCTACTTTCTTGCACTGTCGGGCACCAAACCCAGTGACCTGCTGATAGAGGAGGAATGCCCTCATTATCAACAGATGGTACCTATTTGCTACTTCTTTATTATTGTCCCTTGATAATAGCACAAATTTCAATCTCAGTTTCCCTTACTGGTATTATTTATTAACTTATGACTCTGGGCAGTTCCATATGTATGCCATAGGCTCATATTCTCAGAATGAGATCCTGTATCTAGCAGTAGCATTTATTAGGAGTGACAGTACAGTATTCACTAATTATAGTATTTATAAGCAACAGCCACATAATTTAAATAGTCCTTTATTTTCATCTCTTTTTCTCCAATTCTGGTGTATCAGTGCAACATGCTAAGCTTTAGTAATATAGCCAATGTGCAGAATGGGTGATGAGAGTTTTATTTCCTTACCGGGTTCAATTATCTGTATGAGAAAATGTAAGCGTGGTATGTATTGTATCTGACACCTTTTTTACATTAATGTATGTAAAAAAATCATGCCTTCTAGAATGGAAAGGTTTTATCTCTAATCATCAGTAGTGTACATAACTGTATGTTAGTCTATTGAAGTTTTCTTGTACTTGAAAGGGATTTTAACAAATTCCTGATGCAGGCTTTTCCAGTCCAGTGCTTTCTGATGTGTGTTAATTACAATGCCTTTACACTTAGTCACAAGCAAATGAACTGATAGCTCTGAGCGCGATTCCCCTGTTCATACCCATTTCCAGAAGTAATGATAAGACAGACTCAGAAGCTGTGTAGTCAAAAGCAGCATGTTGTTGAGGAGATGCCCCTTGAACCCTCATCTTTGCTCAGCCTGTCTCAGCTGTCTGGCTCATCCCCTTGGTCAGAAACAGTGGCGATGGACAATGAAAGGTCCCTTCTCATCGTAGGCCTGTCGATTGATCCACACATTTTGGAAAGCATTGAGTGAAGCTACAATGGAGCCACCCAGCCAGGCAGAGAAGCTGCGGTTGGGAGAAGCTAAGATGCCCACTTTGCTCTTGGGCTCCATGTTTTGCAGTTCCTTCTTAATTCTTTCAGAGAAGCCACGGAGCATGGTGGTGCCACCAGCCAGTAGGACATTGGAAAGCAAGTCTGCCTGTCTTTCTGGCTTACATTTATTAACACTGTTTAGTGCTTGGACATGAAGTCCGACTTCTGGGTAGCCTAGCATGGTAGGATTGAAGAGGACTTCTGGACAGCGAAAGCGTTCACTGCCAATGGAAATGACCTGTCTGTCAGGAAGAGTGTAGTCCATGAGATATTTTTTCTCATCTGCATTTAGCTCAGCCTCATACTCTTCAGGGACGTAACAGCACTTCTCCTTGATCTGGCACACCACTTCCATTTCTTCCTTTTGAAAAGGGTTCCCAGATTCTCCCATAATCTTGGCCAAATATTCTGTCAGAGCATTGCCTGCTATGTCCAGGCGATAGGTAGCATGTGGCAAGATATATCCATCATGGACAGGAGCAGTGTAGGAAGTTCCATAGCCAGAACCAATCACCAGCCCACCAGTGCGTCCATATGAATAAACTGACAAAAGTGACTGATGAGCAACAAACATGGCTGGAACGTCAAAGTTCTCAAACAACAGTTCAGCCATCTTTTCACGGTTGGTAGTTGGAGACATAGGAGCATCTGTAACCAGCACAGCCAGCTCTTCAGGGCATACACTGAGTTCAGTGTAAAATATATGGTGCCACAGCATCTCTAGAGCATCCCAATCAGTGACCACGCCATGAGTCATTACCAAATGCGTGCTCACCTCTGCACGCCGTTGTGGAATGTTCTTTCCAATGTAGTACAATGGACTTTCCTTCGTCCTGAACCTGGGTACTCCCACAATACTTGGCACAATGGATCTTGGCTTTTCATCTCCAGCAAGACCACTCTTGGTGTAGCCAGTACCTGTATCGATCACAACAGCAGCATAGTCCTTGTACTTATGTGATGGGCTTGATTTGGAAGTTGAGGCAGCAGCCCTTGAACTAGGCCTGTGTCCTGCAGGACCAGGGCTACCAGGTTTTTTGTGGTGGTTCATTGTAATGGGACTTTTTATATTCTCACCATACCAAGATATGACTGAACACCTAGATACCAGTCCTGCAGCCTCAAAGTGATGGAAGAAATTCTATCAGTACAGAATATAGGAACTAGGTTGTCATAGTGATGTCCTAGCTCATGGATAGGTCAGAGTGACATCATAATAGTAGAGGATAAATTCTAAGACAGTATGGAAGTGAAATGGAAAAGTTTCCCATAAAGATGTTGTCATAAAGACATATCCATTGAAAACATATAATGATTAGGGACTGATCATTGTGGAGAAAATTTATCTAGTTGCTAAGAGTTAGCAATGAATTGATGGCATGTAATCAATATGTCAAACTTTAATTGAAGTGACTATAAAAAAGGTAAAGGTAAAGGTTCCCCTTGCACATATGTGCTAGTTGTTCCTGACTCTAGGGGGCGATGTTCATCTCTGTTTCAAAGATGAAGAGCCAGTGCTGTCTGAAAACGTCTCTGTGGTCATGTGGCCGGCATGACTAAATACCAAAGGTGCACGGAACGCTGTTATCTTCCCACCAAAGGTGGTTCCTATTTTTCTACTTGCATTTTTTATGTGCTTTCAAATTACTAGGTTGGCAGAAGCTGGGACAAGTAACGGGAGCTCACCCCATTACACGGCACTAGGGATTCAAACTGCTGAACTGCCAACCTTTCGATCGACAAGCTCAGCATCTTAGCCACTGAGCCACCGCGTCCCTTGAGGTGTCTATACTGGCCACCAAATAACTATCAGGCCAAGTTCAAGGTTTGGGTCATCACATGTTAGGCCCTAGATAGATCCTATTCACTGTAAAAGACCCAGTGATTCCTTGAGATAATCAGGAGTAATCCTGTTACATATCTGGTATCTGTTGCGGATTGGCCTTCTCTGTGATGACATCTCCCCTATGGAATGCTCTCGCCTCTGACTTTCAGGAGCCACTAAAGAGAAAACCTTGTAAGCATCTTTTGAAGACCATCTCATTACCCAGGCTTTTCCAGTATAGGAGAAGATGCTTCCACTCCATTTTTTCAATGAATATATTTTAATTGGCTAATGTTTTATATTTATATAATATATTGTTTAAATATTTTACTGATATTTTAATTGCTTCATTACACTTTGGCATAGGAAGGGATATAGAAATATATTAAATAAAGTATAATTAGAGAGCCAGTTTGGTCTAGTGGTTAGGGTACCAGGCTAGAAAGTGGGATACTATGAGCTCTAGTCTCACCTTTGCCATGAAAGCCAACTGGATGATTTTGAGCCAGTCACTCTCTTTCAGCCCAACTCACATCACAGGGTGGTGGTTGTGGGGAAAACACAGGAGGAGGAAGGTATGTTGCATATGTTCACTGCTTTGAATTGTTTGTAAAACAATAGAGGCAGGATACAAATGAAGAAAGAAAGAAGAAAGAAAGAAAGAAAGAAAGAAAGAAAGAAAGAAAGAATAAAGAATAAAGAATAAAAAATAATTTAACTGATGCCATGACTGTCCATAACATCAAGTTCAGTTAAAGGATATAGCATTCAGATTGTTTTAGATCAGGGGTGGATTTTTCGAGGGCTGGATCCACATTGTAGTTTTCCTCCACAGGCCAGGCTGGGGTGGGGTGGGGTGGGGTGGGGGGAGATGGAACAGACGCCTCCTGTGGCACCTTGCCGGCCAAAATGGGGTGGGGGGGGGTTAGCAAAGGACTGGCCTGCGGTGCCTCTGGTAGCCAAAATAGGGCTACCTATTAGCTAATAGGGGGGACCGCACGTGCTATTTTCAGGTCAGCTCCGTGGGCCAGTTTTAAGCACCCCGCGGGCTGGCTCCGGCTCCAGCTCTGGCTCTGGCTCCTGGGCCTTCAGTTTGACCCCCCCTCTTCTAGATGACTTCAGATCTGGTCTGATTAATCCTCACTTTCCACGTCTAGCTCTGTGAATTTGAATCATTTTTCATCAACCTGAATTCTGCACAGTGATTTATAGTTTAGAGTATATATAGTTTTTAGACACAATGACAGGAATCCATCCAAACATTTTGATTTCCTGAGCCCTGGTGGCACAGTGGTTAGAACACAGTACTGCAGGCTATTTCTGCTGACTGGCAGCTGCCTGCAATTTGGCCATTTGGATCTCACCAGGCTCAAGGTTGACTCAACCTTCCATCCTTTGGAGGTCAGTAAAATGAGGATCCAGTTTGTTGGAGGCAATATGCTGACTCTGTAAACCACTTAGAAAGAGCTGTAAAGCAGGGCTCTCCAATCTTGGCAACTTTAAGACTTGTGGACTTCAACTCCCAGAGTTTCTCAGCCAGCAAAGCTTTCCTTAGCAAAGCTGGCTAAGGAATTCTGGGAGTTCAAGTCCACAAGTCTTAAAGTTGCCAAGGTTGGAGACCCCTGTTGTAAAGGACTGTAAAGCAGTATATAAGTCTAAGTGCTATTGCTATTGCTATCCCTCCTCTTTGTGCCCCCGGCAGAGTTCCATCTTGATTCTCCTGGTAATGGTGTCTACAAGAGATAATTCTTTAAAAAAAAATTCCCCTCCAAAATCTGAAGCAATGGGTTTGTTTCTGAGTTATGTGTTGGATTGTAAATTTTATTCCCATAAAGGAGAGGACTGAAAAATTATCCCACAGGTCTTCTATACTCAACATCTTAAAGAATAAACATGATTTCATTGTGAACTGGGCCTTGGTTCAAGGAATCTCCCTAGCTTTCTTTCTCTTCTGACCAGACATAGGGAATTTAAAAAAATACATCTGTGTGGCTAATCTGCCTTTGCCAGCTTAATTTTCTTGGATTGTCAGAGAAGCCACACTTGATTCTCTGTATTCAGGTAGTATTAGTGACAAATGCAGCTTATTCCAGCTGTCTAAGAATAAACTTGAAGATAATGGGCTGAATATCCTGTTCAAGCCCAGGGAAAAGAGGCAGGAGAAGAGGATAGGAAATAATCACTCATGTGTTTTTAATGTGGAGTAGTTGAATTCATTATGCCAAACATTTTATAATCAGCAGGAATGTTTGATCAGTGTCTGATGAGGATCAAACATCAGCAATTGATCAGAGAGACATTTAGGGCATTTCAACATCAGTGGGTAAGAATGAAGTTCTGAATGGGGAATAAAATCAGAATCAGTTATAAGAGCAACCTAAGTATGCTTTACTAGTCTATGTTTTGACACATACCATACTCAATAGAGTGTAGTGCTTCATTATTTTATTTATATCTAAGTGTGTTAGACCTCCATGGCTGGATTTTGTTATATCTTGTTTTAAGCAGCTCACTGACCAAAATAAACTCTCTCTCTCTCTCTCCCCCCCTCCTCAGTTTTAAGTCAGGGAAGCAATTCAGATTTGAGGACAAGATTGTCCCATCCAATCCAGATGATGTCAAAGCAAATTTCTTCAGAAGTCCAAGTCCTAGGCCAATTCTGATTTTATACTTATCCTTTACTGTATTTTTATATGCTAAGCTCTGATCAGTAGCTGATTGGAATTAAGATATTTTAAGCAATTTAATTCTGAGGTGAATTAAAAGGGGGACAGTCTGTGTTTCAGAAGAGATAAAGGGGCAGAGAATCAGAGACCCAAGATACATAAAGAGAAAGCGAGGAGGACTGGATGAGAAACCTTTATATTTAACCTATATTCCAGGTTATATTGCTTAAGAAACTGTGATAGTACACTTCCAGTATAATGGAATCATAGCAAATTATACAGTTGCACACATACTGGTGTCCAGAATCTGTGCTCATGCTTCTATTCATATATGAAAGGACATACTGCATTCATGTTTACGAGACAAGCATACAATACAACTAACGGTTTGCCTAATTTCAGTATGCACCAAGATATATTTGATATGTTTTTGCTGGGCATCTGCTTTATGCTTGCTCTGATTCTAATTTGAAAGGACCATATATATTACTCTCTGCAGGTTAAATAAATGCATTTAGTGTCAAAGGTATACTAAAACAGACGATAAATGTATAGAAGCACATACAAGTATTTGCCAGTCCCATTATGATGCCAAATAATTATATTTTAAAAGAGGGAGAGGAGGGAAGGGGAAAGGAAGATGTATAAAGTAACCCTGATACTGAAAACATGTTCAGGGTATGTTGTGGATAAATTGAGATATGAAATATAACTATTACTGTATAACTACTGTGTTTCCCCGAAAATAAGACCCTGTCTTATGTTTTTTTGAACCCTGAAATAAGTGCTTGGCCTTATTGCCATGCATTCAAAAGCCCGATTGGCCTTATTGTCAGGGGATGTCTTGTTTTGGGGGAAACAGGGTATTATATGGAGAAGCCAAATTTGTATTCTGATGGAGCTGTCCAAGGTCCTAATTTGCTCCAAACATGAAAAGCAGGTTACCTTAATAATCCTGGTGTTAGTGAGCAACAGTGGAAAAGAATTATTGTCCTTATATTCTGCTTATCAGCATACCAGGTATTTGATAACCTCACATTTGTTTTGCATTTTTACCAACCTGTTTGTCTTGATCTGTTTTGTTCTGTGACATACCCAGAGCATATTCTGCAATCTTTTGGGCTAGGTAGGCATAGATAGAATTTTAAGAGCCTGATTTTTTGTGGGGGCGGGGTTGCAAAATTCTAAAACCTCAGTCACCGCACATCTTATTCTAAGGCTATTTGTCATCGTCTCCTTATCTTCCCTGCTTGTCATTTTTTTGGACTAAGAAGACTATGTACATACTGTATATATTTATACTTGTATGAAGACATTTCTTAGGTTTATGAGGTTAGTCTGTGTGCAAGGGATCCTGAGTGATAGACATATTGTTGAAAGTTGGACCTTTGCTTTGCAGAATGTCAAAATGTTCCAATATTTACAATCATTAAAAAAATATAGAAAATTAAATGGGACAGGATGTTTAAGAAAAATGAGCACTGATGCTAACTTATGGTCTTCAAGCCTAGAGAATATTGTTTTATCAAATCATAATTCTATCAAGAAATCCAATTGAGACACATAATCTGTTATGCTGATTTATTTAAAAGTAAATAGAATAGAATAAAATAGAATAACAGAGTTTGAAGGGACCTTGGAGGTG